CACGGCTTACATAAGAGTAGCTTTCCAAATTTTCGAGGTCAACATCTCAGAAGTTCCGAAATCTCATTGTTACAAAAAAATCTCGATTGAAAAGCTACACGCTATCAACAAGTCCTGGGCCATCTGCAGCCGAACTGGTTTCAATAAGGTCAGTTAACAGCACTGCGGACGTGGACCCACACGCTTTGACAGAAAGAGTTGACCTTTTGATGTTCGTTGAGGGGCACAACACACGCTGGCTGTTTAAATCCTTACAAGTCATTATGTCGAAAGTATTATGACCGCCTTAACGTCCATCAATAGTGCTTTATGGTTGCGCACTTCGTCATCCAGTTTAACGTTTAGGAAGTTGTTTGGGTGGAATTCCAAAGTTTGGAAACGAGAAATCGGGCAACAAAGGACAAAATCACCGCCGCAATTTGTTAGCCCACTACAAACACATTCAAGAAGAAATACGGTTGAAAGATGCCCTCAAAGGAACTAGTGTAGGTAAAAAGAAAAAAACAAGTGATCACCTAAGATCCTTGCGCTGTAACACAACCGAAAGATGCAGAAAGTCTGGTAGCCTGAGTCTCACCTAGCAGCATTCAGAACAAAACACCTAACAGCAGTTGACCCTATCTGGTGCTGAGCTCGAGATAGTCCAATTGCTAAGGCGTAACATTACTGAACAGAAGGTTCCGTAACTTCACCTGCTCCTGTGTAGCCTTGGGCTACCTGACAGTATCTCAGCTCTCTGGCTTCCTTCGGGTGGTATGGCAGCTAAGCACCGAAAGGGTGTAACAGCTAAACGATTACCATTTATCTATCTAGTGCTGATACGCTGTCCATGATTCGGGGAAAATGCTGTGATGCCTGGGCAAGTAAGTTTATTTTGACTGTTATTTTCCCTATGTCCTTCTACGTAGACTGTTATTTCGCGCATAAATCCCTGAAAAGATTGGCAAAGAAAGGGTGAACAGCTAAACGATTACCATTTATCTATCTAGTGCTGATACGCTGTCCATGATTCGGGGAAAATGCTGTGATGCCTGGGCAAGTAAGTTTATTTTGACTGTTATTTTCCCTATGTCCTTCTACGTAGACTGTTATTTCGCGCATAAATCCCTGAAAAGATTGGCAAAGAACTCATCACCTCGTATGGCATTTACATGGCTGGTGTTATTCCTTGCATGTAGACTTAAAAGCATCTTCATCAGAATTACGGACCAATCATTATTTCCTCCAACATTAGGATAAAGTCAGTGACTGACGATATCACCGGCCACTGGTAATGATTCGGTAGATCAAGAACGACTGAAAAAACGTTCCTTCATCGATCGTGTAAATCATCTTCGTTTGCCAGTCCTCTGAGTCGGCCAGTTCGGTCTCAAATACTTTACCACTGAGCGAGATGACGCCGTGGGTGTTACGTTAGTGGTGGGTACACAATACTATTCAAGTTAGATGAGCAAGGCACACTGTACTGTGATGACATAGGGAAACCAAAGTAAAACGATAGCTTATGAATTAGTCATTAGCCTGTTTACTGGAACGAAAAATATGTTTACAGACGCTTCCCACTGCAACAAAATACCTGCTTCTCTAAGTGGTGGACTGAGGGTCGAGGTGGCTCAGTGGTTGGAGCGCGAATTTACTGGTCGGAAGGTTCGTGCTTCGAACCAGACTTCTCCCTATCGACTTCCCCTGCCTAGGCTTGGGCAACCTGGCAGTATCCCAACCCTCATGTTTCCTTCGGGTGACACCGCACCTAGGCACCGAAAGGGTGTTACAGCTGAACGATTATCTTTTTCTATCTTTTTCAATTGATTGCTACATCAACCAAGAAATTCAGAGGCACCAGACCGAAGATAGAGGGTTAACAGCACCCGAATTAAAGTAAAAATAATCGGAAAAATTTCCCACAGTCGTATGAGGCTTTCTTTCAGATGTAGTCCTAAATCTACACATGGCTGCTTCAATATCCGGTGGATGCATTTTATGTGGAAACCCTGGATGAAAGAACTGTTTTGGAGCATCTTGTTAATCATATCGGTGTAATAAGAGTTTGTCGTCTAATGCTGGAAACCCCACCGAATATAGACGTCTCACCTTTAGTGTTGTAAATACTCCCCGCCCTGGTTGAAACGATTCCACCGTGTGAGTGACCTTTATCGCCATATACCCTGCAATTTGGTGATCCGGGGAATCGACGGTGGTAAAATTCATATCACCACAGTTTGAATGATCTGTCATCGTGTGATTGTTTTGTTGAGTCCATGACTGGGAAATACTATTCAAACGAGGTCGGTGGGAATTCTGCAAATCCCGCAAACACTTATAACTAAGTTGGGAAATGGCAGCGAATTGTTTTCAGCCTCACAACTACCGGTGCACGAATATACGCTGTAGGGATAAGACCGAGAGTCAACTGATGGGCAATGTTCATTCCGACTGGCTAGGACAGTCCGTTGGAATAGTTCTGTCTGGCTGGAAAAGGGTTAAAAATCGGTTTGTTCTAACCGTATTTATCATTGCTTACATCCACTATACAGAAAAGATTGACGAAAAATTTGCCGGTGTTTAGCTATGGTAACACTAATCGGCTACTTGGGTAAAAGAAACTGAACCCTGGTGCGGAGTATGAAATTTGAGGTGCATGACAGTAGAATTCACAGGGACTTATTCCGTCTGGAGTTCGTCAAGCTGGGGAACGAGGGCATTCCGAAGTAAATTCAAAAACCGTCATCTATTCAAAGTAGCGGCAATTATCCGATTTTCATGTAATCCACAGAAGACGGAGATCCTTCGGTTAAACAGTCATTACATCGGATGGGGATTGGTTACTCTGAGGCACCTGTACGATTACTCTTCCAGTGTTAATCGAATGCGCATCTATTTACATACATCCCCCCTAAACGATGGATGAACGTGTCGATCAAGAAACCAGTCACACTGTCAATAAAGTTGGATTCGAGTTTACAAGTGAGGACAACAGTTTCTTCAGCGTTCACCACACGCCGTTCTTCGAAACACACGACTTTCTGGTGGTATATTTGACTGCAGCGCATCTTTTGGAAATGCATGCGACTTTTAAAGTAAGTTCTTCCCAATCCGACTAAGTCATCCCAGGGAATACACTCATTTGCAAATTAATTTGGTTTTACCAAGAGATTGAACTAAACCCCAGCTGAATATCGTTTATAACACCCTTCGACTAAACGTGCAACGCAAAGGTTGACTCACGTTTGATTCAGGAAGATATTCGAGATGCTGCAGTACTTAGTCCAGAAAGGACACAACACACACGAGATTACTGGAGAATGTCATTTGGGTCTCCCAAAGATACCAAATTTTTGTACAAATGAATGTCCTCCACGATTTGCCTGCGAATGGATTCAGGTAGAACATTATGACGGGAAACTCAGGCAATGCGCCTAGCTGATGAGTCTCGAGAAGAGCGAAACCGGTCGTGAACTGTCAAGTTGTGTTCCACTTAGGTTAAACAAACAGGTATGGGAAAATTAGGATAAAGATACGATAGCCTAGAGAAAGCGCGCTTCCAAGAAGGCGATATTCGAACCGTAACTAGATTTCAACAAGCCGCAAAACCCTTACACACAGAAATCCCACAGAACCTATCTTGCAACTATGAAGAAACGCAACAGATACTGATCTGTACAGGAGCCTGAAACGTAGCACACTGATCATCACATGAGGTCACAAATCGTACTCTAGTTGATTGCATATTTACTGAACGTTGAACCAAAGCGCACTAAATGACTGGAACGACGCACGATAAAACGACACGTTCACGGTGAAGTGTCAGTCGCTGGCTGCTAGGGACTAGGACACTTATTCGACCACGTCACACTGAGCACAACGGTCACATCATACAATGGTGTGGATGATCAGTAGGAGTCTTGACTTACCTGATCACCCATGATATATAAGAAATGTATGCGAAAGAAAAGAGCGAGCCGTGCTCTGAAAAGTCGCCACTCGAAGTTAGTCAACCTCCCATGACCTGGAGGATGAACGCTGTTACACTTCGCAACAAAGCGCAGGACGTTTTTCCATTTGATTTAATTATTGGTGGGTGGAAAGGCACAACTTTTCGTCACCGAGCGGTGGATACTGTCGGAATCTAAAGGGATGTGTATCCAAGAATCTGTCGTATAAACTCCAAAAAGTGAAAAACCGTGTTACATAATCACAAAGTCATCACGGTATACCGTCAGATCGACGACTGATTCCCGCAATTTCACCTTCAACCGGTGTTGAAATACCTCGACTGTCTGAAAGCCAGTTTGGCCCAGGTCGCTTTGCACTTTGAGTAAAAATAAGTTTGCACTATTTTACTGTCGCTGAGTCTCAAAGGCTCTTAGTCGGTTTAAGACTATGATGACAGGTCGGTGAACCTGCGATACAGAAACAGGCTATTGATGATATGAAAGGGAATACTGCGTTATTGAAATATTATTCCTGTCGCTGTTCCGCACTGTAACAACCTCTCCCATGTATGTAGCTGATCTTGAGTGCGTCAGCGCTGTATTTCGCTGTCAGCAAATGCCCGAACAGATTACATTTCTGGAGCTGAGCAAGGTCTCTGTCGGGATCTGTTATGATGGTTCCCCAGAAACAGACGGACCTTGCGATGTGTGCATATAATGCGAATGCCCAGTCTATCGACTGATACGATTTTTAGAGTTGATATCCTCGTAGATATATTGGGAAGCAATCTCTGTGGTTACGTACGGAACACCGTCCGTTCCTAGCTAGTACGATTTTTCAGTATAAGCGATTTACGACTTCGCTCGGAGGTCACCGGCTACAATCAGCCACGGCTCCAGTTGTATTGTGTGGTCATCATCGCTTCAGGGACACTGCTTCTTCTGGACCGGACATCCTGGTTCCCACCATGGTATTGTGTAGAACGGTCCACCTCGCTGTCCGCCTGGACACCGAGGACCAACGCAGGGTCATTTAATTCATCACAATCCATCAACGATATCGAGTCCAAGTCCACTGAAAACGCGCGAACACAGTAATCATAAAGATCTTTCGAAGTGCGAATGGAAAATTTGTAAACCATGCTTTTGAGTCCCACGGCCACCTGGCTAAGCTCCCCCTCACGGATGACTTGGTGATGCATCACTGCCACTCTGGCCGAACCGGTGTTGCCAGCTGGTTTTGTAGGCAGGTGAAGTGACAGGTGTTTTCCATCAATCATATCTGCCAAACTTTAACCAATTGACCATGGCATTTACTGCAAGTTCAACATGAATCGCGCAGCCTTGCAAACCTCAACCAACCTACTGCAATGCAACAATATTACACCGTCCGAATCAGCGGGAAAGCGTCGGATAGTGTGAATCTAAAGGCCATCATCACTCGTCGAGACCACCTAGACAACTCAAGAGCCATAAGGTATAGTTCCATCAGCACAGAAACAATCTTCCCACTTAAGGGTGGGACGTCACACCTGGCGACACAGCACGAATTCAGTGAATTCCAGGTAAATTTCCAAACCAAACAAGGACAGGGGGTGATGATGGAAACATGTGCACCGAAAAGACGTTTTTGAAATGGGATTCTATCGCTACCGTACCCGGAATACTCACTAACTCATAGAGGAATTGTAGTTGACAGCTCCGTAGTTAAGATCATTTGCATACTTATCGAACTTCCACTTGTCTTTGTCTAAACTGTCATAGACTCCGAATCCACCAGTTACCTGTCCGTACAGGCCGCCTAGCAGGATAATGGAATACCTGCATGTATTAGCCCTCTGTCATAACTGGTTCTACCATGACACACTCGGGCACCCACAGTACCGCTCCAAAGCATTGGGATGACCTTGGTAACTCAGGTTTCATTCTATTCGCCCGCAGCCGGTATTCGGACATTGACACTGCGCTATGCTGGTTGGTGATTGGGCCTGCACACTTGATCTCACGAAAGTGGATAATCGATGCTCCCGTACACGTTTATTCCTTTGTAAATACTATCGTAGGCGTTCGAAATTCTTTTAAATCTGAAGTCGTCTGACCTATGGATGACACATTTGCAGTGCCGAGTGCTGGTAGGCAGTTAAAGCCCAGAGAATCGAAGGTTTTTAAAACAGGAAACAACCAAATGGTTGCACTGCAGTTAAGCGCTAATGCTGTATGCTGATGTTCCCGTCAACGATGTGAAGAGAACTGACCGTGGATGTGCGGTCCACATTGCTCTATGCATAAGGGGTACAAAATTTACCAGCAGAAAATAAACGAAATCTTCCAGTTTTTGACTCCCTATTTCTTCAAAGTACTCTCCGCGTATTGCGGAAACAGAAGACAAATAGTGCCGAGGTACGCCACATGGTTATCGGAATAATTCACTCGAAGACATCAAATGAGCTCACCACGCGCCATAGTTCTATGCCAGAGACCCGGTTGCCTCGTACAACCCATTCCGCTTAACTGTGATCAAACAGTGGTCAGTATGATTTGAGGTACGAACGCCTAACCAGTAAACTCAGAATCCTGGACGGCACGCTGTATTGGTCGGACAACGCAGACGGCCCAAACAAACAGCCAGTGGCCAAGTGTCCAGAAGACTGTAGAGATTCGGCGCCAGTGAACTAAACGGGCCGACGCATGTCTCCCCCACCTTATTATCTCAACTATGGATGAACAAAAATGTAGAAGCTGGAAAAAAAACGATGATAACCCCATGACTGAGTTATTTTAACGTTATCTATAATATCAACGATAACTCTGTACAGCTCACCATTGGGTTCCCCAACTCAGAACCCATCAGACAGGCCCGGTCCTCAAATTTACATTAACACTGTTTCCTAATTGAGTAACGATTCGCGCGCATTTAGCGATTAATATTCATTTGCAAATCAGGTTGGTATTGACAAGACACTCAGCTAAAGTTCATATGAATCTCTGGTTTATAATATGAGGCAACCGATTGTGGTGCTGCCAGCTGGACTCGGAGGACAACTAATCATTGTGAAGGTCAATGACAAAGCCGGTTGAATAATAATGGAGGAAAAATACGGTTAGGATGACATGCAAATAAGCAGTTCACGATGGTGAGAATAATCAGCATACCAACTTTCTCGGATCGGGAAGTACTCATCGGACAGTACTGATTGCTTGTTTCACTGCCCTCGAGGTGTCTTTGGGATAACCCGATGTTCGCAACTGTAAGCTAATTATGAGAGCAACAAATTTCTTTAGGAACCTGCGCTCGAGATAGCTAAAGGCCGAAAAATCAGTGTTTCGGAGCAAGCCTACGCCACCGTCTCGGTCAAGCCTTGGAAAACTTACCAGTACCTCAACTCTCGGGCTTCTTATAAGCTGCACAGTAGTCATGAACCAAAAGACTGTTACAGCTGAATGATTCCTTTTCTCTTAAAAACGCACTCTTAACCCAGATAAGTATGCCATTCTGCCATGCAAAATAAGCGAAAGAACTGCAACCTAATATAAGATGCGCATTCTCCCTTGCCTTTCGACGACAACACAGGAATAGCTACGCACAATGTGCTGCATATGTGCTGGCCATCTAAAATGAAAGTAAGGCAACCCATACCAATCTCCACAGTGGAAGAGTGAAACCGCATACGGCTCGTGTAACAAGATCACAAGAAATATCAAAAGAACGAGAAATCATAATAATTGAGGCGAATGAGTTACGCCACGACAATGCTGTCTCGAAACAGTGTTTTTTTGTACATGCCGTCCGGAGATACGTTGAATCATCTTGGGGTGCCACCTTCTTGATTTGGCCGACGTTTCTTGGCTTTTGAATGAGCAGACTGCCACAGCGCGTGTTTGATAAAGCGTGATGCGGCTTCCTTGTCACATTTGAGGCGTGAATTACTCTCCTTCTCGGTCAGCATTCGACAGCGTTTCAGCGCAGTCATGACACGATTCTCGGGAAAAAGAAAATGAAGTATGCGAATTAGATAGGGGTTTCCTGCGGCGTAATCATGTTTTCCAGAACTCATCAGCTAGTCAATATGGAAGGAATCGACTCATGTGATACAGTAACTACCAGCAGAAGAGGAAGTTTATACACATAGTTTTCTTCAGAAACTTCATAAACCGGATGAGGCCCAATGATAGAATGGCTAGGATAAAAGAACCAGAAGGTTTTAGACACATAAACATGGAAACAGATGAGCTCACACAATAGTTAAAAGGTTATTCCGATTAGGACGCAGACATGGCCTAGGGGTTATGTTAATCGTGATACTAGGGTGTGGTGGTTAATCAGCTGACAACGGCGCCTCCTGGATCTCACATGGGTCCAATTACATCACGATACGGCAAACATGGACGCGTCACAAAGAGATTGCACATACCACCGAAACTCCGGGCTAGTGGTTGGTACTAGCAAATTGGTGTACGAACTGTTCGACGATCAGAGGACGCTGTACTCTGCTAATTTGAGTCGAAATCGGCTGTTTGAAGGGTAAAGCAGCGAACTCGAATGGGTACATAAGAGCAACCCAAGATCCGACGACCATTCTGACAGCTCTACACTTCACGTCCTTTCTGCTGTCTTGCCGTCTGTACTTGCTTGGGGAAAATTAAAGCTATGCCCACGAAGAAAAGCCTTGTCCTCGCACGGCTTCTGTTTGTGGGGATGTCCTACATAAGACAGTCCATTATTCTATGTTACGGCGTCTCCAGTAAGCGATGCTGATCTGTGATCACAATGACAAATATGCGCACTGAGCCTTCATTCACTTTCTTCCAAAGTCAGCAGCATACTGCATAAAGGCTGCTGGAATACCCCCGCTTTCACTGACATCGGAAGCCAGAATCTCACTATCACCATCAAGTCACTTGTCTTTCAGAAAAACTGGTTTTTCTGGGCCTACGCCTCATCAAAAACCCAAGAGTGGAATCTTCGTACAGACTCTACAATGACCGCAGTGATATCTGGGACCTATACAGTCCGGTTCTTGTTTAGAATAACCATACCAACGAGCAACTACTCGTTTCAAAGGCCCTATTGCGAATCTGGCCATCATAGCCGTTTGGGAACTTTTATTGAACCTTTGCTATGCACTCTACACGATCAGCTATTTAGGGTGCTCGAACATGGGCCCAACTACAATATGTTGATGGTTGTTGGAACACAAAAAAGTGGTGCCTCGGACGAAGCCATCCGTCACAATCTCCAAAAGTTAGCCACAAGACAATGCTGCAAAGACGTCGATCAATTGACCAACTTCGATCGACTCCTAAAATTTAACACAGCTTTCCAGCACCCGACCATTTGAAGTGCTTTTGGCCGAATTTATCAAACTACTACAGACCAAAGTTTCCTGATAGGAATCTGCAAAGTGTGTCTACTTCTTTACGCACTTTTCTGCTCAACATGAGTTGTCTAAGTGATCCTCTCTAACATCGATGCGTGAAAAAATGACAGCAATTATATATAAGACTCAAAGATACCTTTGCCGAAATTGCTGCCATACTGGTATTGCGCCACCTCAGATCAGTGAAGAAGATGCGGTCGGAGAGACGTTCTTCCACAAAAACGTTGCGCTGATTGTGGAACATTTGGTTGTTAATGTCTGCCCTGTGTCGAAAGCCGATGGCGCGCCCAGGAAGTTGCTGAATTTCATCCGAATTTAGTATTCAAGCATCAAGACTCATCCGAGTGCATAGCTTTGCTTTAAATTCCAGTGTTCGGTTTATGACTAGATAATGGCACATGCCCTTCTCCGGGTTATCAAGGAGCTCCAACAATTGGATTACTGATATAGTCATCCTGGTCAAAGGTATAAATTCATCGACCCCTACGCTTCACTAGAAATAAACACTAAAAAGGTTGAATTCTGTACCACGAACACGTTCAGTCTAACCATATCGGTGTCCACGGAGAGCCCATAAACCAAGTTGATTCTTTTAGGTGCTTGAGCTTCAACATCTTGTCAAAAAGCCAGGCACGGTAGAAAAAAATACGTATTCACATCGATAACATCGGGAGGATTTCTGTGAGCTCCACATCACTCAGGAATCACACTTCGAAATAAGCTGTGTCAACGCTATCATGTGGCACGCTTCTCTCTATGTGGTCTACGCAATGTGATGCTGTGCCGATGATCAAATTTCATGGACAGCAGTGATTTTGGATATTCCATGGGAGAAAGGCGTCATAAAGCAGAAAGTGAAAGGTGGCAAACCGGTGCAGCTTGAGGACCATTTTCGGCCTGTTACTGCTGGTTTCTTCATAAAATACTCAAAAGTCCTGGTAGACTACTGTCTCTCCGTCCTTCGGACCAAACAGCATTTGTTGAAGGGAACATTGGTGAAAAGTCAGGATAAATATGTTACGAAGAAACGTTGGAGAGAATTCAAGATTGTGTCAACAGCACCAAACACAATGGCGACCCAAGTAAATTCAACGCAAGATAGGGGAGAGTCACGGAAAAAAGAAAAGACATTGCACCACTAAGCAGGTAGTGCAAACTGTCACCTTTAGTGGTGCTTCAGCTCAATTTGACTCGAGGAAAATTACCAATATTCCTGCGCCAAATATCGTATTATGTCAACCCATACACCTAAATTCTACCTACGTAATTTTGAGACCCAACCAGTGATTTATTTGATGTTTTGTTCAATTGCCGACAATTAGAGGTAACTACTTTAAAATTCTCCCATAGCACTTGTAGATAAACAGAAAAAATGAAACATTTTCCACTTCATATGAAAAAATGAAGCGACATTTAGATCGAATTGTGGCTGATAGTACACGCCGACCTCTACAGAATTTCGTGAAATCCAAGAAAATAAACTTAAGCATGGGCACGTAAGTGGGAAATAACCAGACCGTCCACTTCGCCGTCTGTACAGAGGACATCCCACCTACTCGTTAGCTTCTGGTAACTCCGTAGTCAATAGTGGATCGAAATTCAACGGAATACGTCCATTAAACCTTGGTCTGACAATTAAAGGTTAATCTTCACAAAACTGTTTCCCATTTGAATACTTACTCACTTGTGTACGAAATGCGGCACTCCGATTAGTAGTTTGTGACTATTTTTTGCAAACGCTACATGCAGTATGGTCCTACTGTCTGCTCTCGACAAAGTTAACATTCTCAGTGTCACGTATCATGACAAAATTTCAAAGGAGCGACGCCACGAAGACCAAAATTTTCTTTTGAGGTAGTGTATAACATGACAGCATGTTCTAACTTTGGGAAAGACATCTTTCGAGGCGTGTCTTCTTGTCGTTCCAACCCAGGTTAATAATAGACCAAAAGAGAGAAGCATCGTATACCTATGGGTTGGTTTGCGACATATCAGTCGTGTGTCGAAGTTGTTAAAACGAACCATTCATCATCATAATGATCAAAACAGCGCCAGTGTTGATAATGCTTCGTTATCGTACGATAGCTCGCGTATGGCCATGTACAGGTAGTAAGTATTCTTGTATACTGACCGCCATCAGCTGCATACGAACCAGTCCAAATAACATCCGAAAATTTCGAAGTGATATAGCCGAACGGAATCCTCGTCTTCATGTCCGATAAAAACTCTCAGCTGATGGACTTTGTGATTTGTACGATCTGGGGGGAATCCGCATTGCTGTGCATTTGCTCGAGTGTCTCATACCATGGTAATCAAAAGGGACATCTCCCTTTCAAGTTCAAAATAACAACTATGGATGGTGAAGTAAACAGCTCAACCGTCCATCTGATAACCTTCGCTCGTGATTCTGGTGATTCTCGTAATTCGCAATAAAGCAAATGTGGCCACCCAGCAACCCGTTTCTCGAAATGAAAATGGGTTTGCTATCACCAAACTGGAACAGTCTTTCTAATGACCGAAATCTCCTCACCACTTTCGCTTCAAAGCTATTGAGCTAGAACCTGCGAAAGTATAAAAGGTAAGTTTAAATGAGTACCGGGCTCTTTGTTCACTCAGCCTAACTTACACCGATTCGAATGCAAGTCAGCGTGCCGCTATCGACGTCAGCGCAGTAATTCATTTAGACAGACATGCAGACAGAGTTTCCACAGGTACTTAGTGCTTCAGAAAAGTTCAAGTTCAGAAAATCCTCACCCTTACTTCTGTCGGTCTACCAACACTGTGATTTCGGTCGAATGACAATACAGACATGGTGTGTATGTGTGCCGATCAATGTATTGGGTTACTACGCATGATGAAACCGCATACTCGGCTTCATCTACATCGGCACAACACAAAAGTGTTTTTTTTGGATACTCCATTTTGTGTTGGTGTTAACGCACAGTGTCCATTCTCATCGAACTGTCAGAACACGTGGATATGTTAAGAAAGGGGGTAGTCTTATTGTTGCACCTTGATTTAAGAAAAATAGAGGTCACAGGTTTCCAATGCTGTCGCGTTGAACCTAATTCAAACTAGTGTGAACTTTTTGTTTACAGTTCAGCCAGTGAGTATATTTCAACGTGGTATAGGTAACTTGGGAAATACGGATACACAAATACTGCATGCGAACCATGTTCTTTCGTCACTCCCTCAAGTCTATCTAATCCGACGCATTCGCGATGGCAAATGTCGGAATAAAACCAAGAAGGTTGCCTATTACGACTTCTGATAGTTTTCCGAAAACGTTAGTACTAAGAGGTTCAAAACTGACGTCCAGCTTTATCACCTATCACCTTAATAACGGTGCATCCATACAACAAAGTGAACCGTTCTAGGTTTCAGACCATCAGAAACTGACCACCTGCCGCACTTTGTCGAATTGGATGCTGCCACCATAATGCAGGTATACAACTTGAATCCGTGATCAGCTCTGTCTTATCTTACCATGGCAAGACCAATGATACCGCCGTGAACGTATAAACGGTCCATGTAGCACATTGTTATGAGGTGCAGTGGTGTATTGTGAGTCGCTCTGTTTACTGAAGCACACCGACTAAGAGATAGGGTTAGAGCATCACGACAAGCTTGCCCACCGTCTGATTTCTAGTTGTTACTGTGGATATGGAGACTGGACAATGAAGTGCACATCAGTGCACATGAATTCTAGTTCTTCGGACAGGCTTCATTCAAGTTCCTCCGTTCGGTAGATATAAGAATCTTGCAGAACCGCTTTCAAATGTTAGGTTGTGTACCTCCAGTAGAAACGGAACATTTAGGATACCAAGCGGCAGTTTCTACAACACCTCTCAAAAAGTTCATTGCTGAAGTAAGAAAGCTTCAGAGTTTTGTTAGGAAGGACCTGGTTGGTCAGTTGATGAGTACGAGTACTAAGTCGTGGTACAATAACGAATGGAAAAATCATAGACAAAAACAGAAAACTGTGTAACGCGAGTGTTTTATCTGCACTAGCTGTCTGTGGAATGTAGAGACAAACCTCGGAAAAAGGTCGATTGGTTACTGCATCACTTATCACCGATACTGTCGAATCAGGTTGACCCAGTCACGTTGTCCCCTTTTTACGAGATAGACTTCATCAAACAAGTCAACATACATGTTCACCTATGAAGTTTCATTTTTAACCTAGCAATATCAACTGCAAAAAAATCGTTCAGCACTTTCCCGGTGCCTAACTACCATGCCATCAGAAGAAAGATACTCTCAGGTTGCCTAAGCCTAGATTGGGGAAGTCGAGAGGCAGAAGTCGGGTTCGAACCACGGACCTTTGGTTAGTGAATTCGCAATCTAACCACTGAGCCATCAACCGCAAGGAAACCACGGCCTTTGGTTAGTGAATTCGCAATCTAACCACTGAGCCATCAACCGCAAGCATGCCAGCTATCGCCTTCGATGCATGGCTCCTTACCCCGATTCCCGACACTAGTGGTAGAATGTAAGCATCCCTTGCAGCTGACAATGACAACAATTTTGAGGACGGGAATGACAATGAGAAGTTTCGAATGGTATCATTCAGTTTTGTTCCGTTCTTTCGGAGAATGAGTTATGTGGATATATGATGTAGTGTCCCTAGGGTGTGTGAACGACTACAAAAAAACGCGTGCTGTTAAAAATGCCAGCAAAAGCAGCTCTGGAAGTGAAATACTTACCAATTCTTGCATGATCGGATGATTGCAAGTATCCACGCCATTGCACCGCAAATATACTGAAAAATGGTCTTGCCTAAAGCTACACTTACCGAAAAACAGTGCATTAAATGCGTAACAAAGGGAAAGCTCTTCTTTAATCTGTTCTAGATTAGATATCTAAAAATGAATGTAATTCAAATAAGTTTACTTCTGTCCTCGAGTTCTTAGAAGCCAAGAAGTCTTTGATATAACTGTCCACGTCGTCGATCGACTCAGAGAAGGTAACCAAGTGTTGGCTGATCTCTTCAGGAATCTCATCAAAAATGCTGTTTTCGGCCATTCTAGAAAGGAAAGAAAAATCCTTTATATATCACAGACATTCACCCTCCCACATCGCAACATGTTGCTATGAAAATCGCAACTTGAAAGAAGAGTATAAGTATTCTCACAGTGACGTCATCAGGAAACATCCGTCCAGCAAGCTAACTCGATTACAATTAATGTATTGAGCTATGTTCTCCAAATTATGTGCACAATCCCACTTTACGTCCTGTCACCCAAGCATGCCGTCGATCGAATGGTTAACGTACTAATTGCACTCAGTCAACTACTAGTTAAAGTCACTTGCCACCTACAGCAATTTTTGACTCCAAAAAAGAACCAATCATCATTCACAACAAAAAGCATCGTTATCCAACATATTTCTGAAGATTATCGGATATGACACAGTGCCGCCGTAGGACACTACAGCGAGTCCCAAATTAGAAAAGTAGAACTAGCCTTAGAGATACATTTATTAACTTCACCTGTGATAATACGACCGCAACGTATACAACTTAAAATACATAAAACGTCCCATAATTTCGACAGCCTCTCCCTGGATTGCAAATGGCGTGTTTAATGACTGTATGTCCCAGAACATGACCTTACATTCTGCGGGTGCAAGGTGTATGCCAAAGGACGGGAAGACTTTGTTTAGTTCACCTTTTTCAAGGTTGAGGAGGATGCCGTCTGCATGTGCTAAATCGACAAGATTATTGTCAGCAGCTATCTGAATATTAAGGCTTTTGGAGACCTCTCGACCTTCGCCTCACCTGGTCGATTGTAAAACTTAATAGGAATGGAGCGAGTTGGTACCACCTAGTGCATGGAGCTTCCGTATAATTTCATGGGCCCGGAAAGCTGAGAACACAGAGAACTCAATATATTGGCAAACGTCTGAAGCATTGCTTGCTGAGCAAATGTGTTAAAGGTGACAGACCGGTCAACGTAGCCAAACGCGTCTCAGAAATACAGGAATGCTGAGGAAATTGTGGGTCACTTGAGCGAAAGAAGTGGTTTTAGGACCTGGCGGAGTGTGAATACTTGGTCGAGGAAACCTATACAAGGCCGGAAACTCGTTCGCTATTGTCGAGTCACCGCTTCACGGCGGGTCATAGAGCGAAGGACCAGTGGCGTTGCAACAGGAATCAAGCCGATACCTCTGATTGCCGCACTCACTACAAGCCCCCTTTTAAATCGGCACCGCTAATGACTATCCCAAATTATATGGGATAATATCACTTTCCCAAACGGGGGCAAACAGATCAGTCAAGTACTGACTGGAAACTTCATCTTCATACTCGGACAATGCAGGAGCACGAGTCAGTTGGCATTTAAAAAGATAAGCGCAGTCATAAGTCACCGTCATGAATCCTCCGCCGTAAACAATTCCTAGTTCAACATCCAGTGTCCTGAGGCATTTCGACAATCCGCCTAAGCGGTGGCAAGCGGTCATCAGAATTGTCGCTTAAAGTGCTCGAACCAACGACCGAGGCACCCTTCTCTATTGAAGATGATCACGCCACAGCGATCACCGATGATTTCGCTCACAGGCCTTTTACAGGGATCAATCACACAGATTAGCCGGAATAATCTTCCAGTACTTCTGGCATTATTCGCCTCTTCCCTCTTCTTCCTTAGCTCTGTGTCCACCAGGCTTCACGGTCGGCGCGCAGGTTGAGTCTCGACTGACGTCTGATGATTCGTCGGGCTGAATTATGGTCTTAACCGGTAGAAGCATTTCCCCGAGCTTCAAGTAGTGCCACTGATCCGTCTGAGATCCAGTGTTTGAAATGACCTGGAAGCACCATGCCACAAACGGAACTCCCTGATTTAACGATCTCATTCCAGTAGGAACGGACATCCGACGGCGTGGAAGTCGGAAGAGTCCAGAAAACTTCCGATAAATTCGGTCAACTTCGGAATCTACCAGCCTCTCAGTTGACAAGCGAGTTGCCCACCCTTTGCGCGGTACCGGAAGTCAAAGAGAGAAGAGACCCCGAACGAATCCACACAAGTGTTCCAAAACGAGTGACGGTCAGTTGTTAGCCAACGCCATCAGACACTGATGGCGATGGGATCAATTTGGCCTGCCAGTGGCACGCTGTTTGAGGACACCATGCTGCTAGACGACTTTGGTTATTTCTAAGTTTTGAGCTATATAAAAGTATGCTATCAGTACATCGTTGAAGCAGTCGCTCGCCGTTATCTGTACGTACAGTCTAACCCAAGTCTCAGGTGTGCTGCGTCTAGCCACTTTTGCATTCCTATTCCCGGCAGCTTCAACGACGCCGATTACTGCATATCCTGCCCCAAAGGTCTCTGAATAGCTAAACCGAAAGTGAGTATACTGATAGATCTGTATGTTGATGGATCCGTTAGCCCAATGACTGTGCCTGAATCTTGAATTATTGTTTCTGATGCACGGCATACATACACGGCATATAGCAAGTGGATCCAGTGTAAGAGCAACTGTTGTCATGCTTCCTCTAGAGTGGGAACATTAGAAGTAGCTAGCCAGATTGAATTCCGGGGCTTGAAGATTGATTTTGAGATATCTGTTGTTCAGCTGTAACACCCTTTCGAAGCCTGGCTGCCATGCCACCCGATGGAAGCACCAGGGCTGGGGTACTGCCAGGTTACCCAAGCCTAGGCGGGGGAAGTCGAAAGGCAGAGGTCGGGTTCGAACCACGGGCCGTCCGGTCAGTAAATTGGCGCTCCAGCCATTTGAGATATCTGGGGCTATCAGCGCCCGATGACCTGCAGGCGTTCCCATAAAGACTGATGCAAGACGAATGAGATCGTCAGTCCTAGCGGATAGGCCTAAAAGGAGGGCTTTATTAATGAGGTGGATGAGTAGAGGGAACCTATATGAAAAAAGAGAGGGGCCAACAGTAGTCTGTTTTCGCTAAAGCACAAGGTACTCCGTGACGCTGACTTTTGAAAACGGTCCTAAAAGAAACACGAAAGCCACTGTGGCATCAGTGGTAAATGTAGCATTCAAGGCGTTCCCTGGCACCAACCTGCACAGGTTGATCGATTAACTAGATGGCTGAACAATATCAAGTTGAACTGCCTGAGTAGCTTCTAGAGCTTGGAAGATACGATGGTCGTAATGGCGGTCTGGAAAACTATTGGGGAAAAGTGGAACAAGTCATGCAACAACTATTGAAACCGTCTGGACACCAATGGAGGTGAACCAATCTATGCGGTACATAAGTTCGTTTATCTGAGCAGCTGCATAGGTCCCGATGGTCACGTGAAAGGCAAAATGACTTCCTGAATTGGGAAGGCCAGGGCAATGGTCGCTACCTCCGATATTCATTGCACAGACAAAATATCCGTTCGGCTGACACGAGTACAACGTGCAATACCTTGGCTTGACCTGTCCTGCTTTATGGATGAGACGTGGCCCGGTGCGGGTGGCCCTGTGTTTGACCAACAATGCCTTCGAAAGATTGCGCGTGTTTATTGGGAACATCACATCCGCAATGCTGAGGTATACTAGATGGTTTTCTGGGAAATCGTTCACTAGTGGAAGACCAGCTATCCAAAGTCTGCAGGTTACGGTGGTTAGGTCACGTCATCATCATCATCATCATCATCATCATCATCGACAGCACGACATCAGTGTTTCAACACCGAGCTTAACTGCCGGTTAGGTCATGTACTTCTTATGTATGGGCTCGGACCATGTACTTGTCCGACGCTGTTTGTGATTGCGCCTTTCAGATTTACGTATGTCAGATGGATCTCTAGCTGCTGTCCGGAAACAAATATGAACTAACAGCGCCAATACCATAGTTCAAAGCAATGGACTCCGCAAAGATTTCCAGTGAAGGATCACTGTAACAATACGTAATCATTCAGTAGCTGCCATGCCACCAGAAGGAGGTCTGAGGGTTTGGATACTGTCAGGTTGCCCGAGTCTAGAAAGAGGAAGTCGAGAGCCAGAGGACCTTCTGATCATTAAATTCGCACTCTAACCACTTGAGCCATCTCACCCCTGAAAAGCATGGATTAGACAGAGTCAAAAGCCCGTGGGTATTCTTCCGATTTTGGTGAGCAGCTGGTCCCGTGAAACTTAAAGGCGATGCATGGTAGGTGGGAACGAGAACGAGAAAACACCTGTAGGATATCATATGTGTGGGTGTTGGCAGGAGTTTGATAGCGTTATTGACGAACACGGCCGCCGAAAAGGGTTTAAGCTGATCCCCCTGTACTTAACACACTCATCACGAGCCCCTTTATTGAAACTGGGCACTATCACCGGCTCTCCTCAGGTGTCTGCGACCGTCTCCTTCGCCCAAATGCAAGCAAGCAGATCAGACTGGCGTTCAACAGACTTCACCCCGTCTTCAAACAATGATGGTGGGAGGATATCCGAACCAGAAGCTCGGTGGCGCTTGAGAGAATATACATACACATAAACCTCCGAGGCCGTAGGCAGTTCCACGTCCACCGTCCAGGGCTCTACGCCACCTGTGGCTCAAGATGAGTGCCGGCTGGAGGCCGCGACAGTTGTTGTTCGAAGTATTCACCCACCGATCGAGGCGTTCTTTTTTATTCGAGATAGTCGTTACATTCTAATGTTTGATGGTTTCACTCACGGGTGGTTTCCAGGGGCCATCATCATCATCGACAGCATGATATCAGTGTTCAACACCGATGCTTCACTGCCATACAACCACGATTTAGTTGAAAGCCTTATTGTAAAGAAAAGAATAAAGGTGGGTGGGAAGGGACTCAGTGCTTGTTTACCACAAGCATTCAAAGGTGTCTAAACCTCCAGACATTCACTCAGGCAATCTGGATAGAAACTGACAACAAGAACGTCACTTGCATCGGTTGGCAGCCATATCTTCTAGTGTCTCCAACCAGGCACAGTGAGGATTACGCGGTGCCCATCCTGGAAGGCGAGTAGCACCGACAGCACCCAAGCGTTTCGTGATCTTATCCATACTCCTCTGTCAAGTTAAGGGTTGGCCACCTCTCTATTTACGCCACTCTGAATTGGGCA